CCAAATAGTCATATTACAGTATTTTTCAGTCGATAACAAGCATTTGTCCAAACAGTTGTCACATTTCCAAAACTCTAAACACCATTTGTACAACATCAATCTTTTGTGGCCATACCATTCACACATTTCATGTTATTTTCACACAATATGCAGTCAGTGAACACATTTCCACAATGCTTACATTTTCTTAACAGACAAGCTATACCTCCCAACAAAATTATGGATTGTTTTTGTAGTATTTACAAATGTTAACCCACACCATCCCAAAATAGCAAAAACAATATTCCAAACCTTAGATACAGTGTAAAAACTCTGCTTCAATGACATCAGTTCAAAAACAATATATCTCAGCTGATAATAAACAAACAATTGAATAATTGACCGACAGCTTATTTATGTTGGGTAAATTGGGCCAACCACAGCTGTTTTCAGTCTGGCTTAGATTCAGTGGCGGGGGTTATTTTTTTTTTCTATTACATTGACACTTACACAAAAGGAGGACTTTACAGTAAAGAGTAATGTTTTTGGAAACAGAAGAAGACAAACACTGTAACGTCTGGACGAGGAAGAGTAAGAGCAAGGGGCCCAGGGAGAAGAGCAGGCTCAGTGAGAGGTGCAGTGAGACGTGCAGTGAAAGATGCAGTGAGAGATGCAGGTGCAGTGAGAGGTGAAAAAAAAAACTTGAAAAAAAAAATGTTTTTTACTGGAATGCTTTTGAATGTGAACATTACTGTGCATGTGGACAGTTCCCAACCAACAAATGTAGTGTAAAAAAGGTGGATTACATATTTTTCATGCAAATACCTGTAAAACTGAAACATCAAAGTCTATGCAGTTTTTGTAATGTCAATAATAGCCAGTATTTTGAAACCTGCTGTACTTTGACTGCATGTACCTTAAAAAGTGAAAACAAGTATTATCCTTTGACAGAATAATTTCATTTTGAGTAATATTTCCAGTGTTTTGGTAAAGTTAGTGTGTGCAGATAAAGATGTGTTCTATTTTGAAATGAAGAGTTAGTGTATATTTAACAAAATGTGTTTTTGAGAAGAAAAATATCCATTTGGCCAATTGTGTTTTGTAGGTGTGAGTCTGTGTTAAGAGTTTAGAAAAGGTATCTGAAGTATGGGTAAGCGCTTGTTAGCGATTGAAAAAAACTGTAATCAATACATCTGCCCCGTAATCATTTATGAAACAAAGGAATAAAAGTGTTTGGTTTTTTTTACTGCCACAAGTGTTTTTAGAGAATGCAGTTTTGTTGGTATAGAGGCATGTAAGTTCGCTTTAAGCTCTATTGACAGCATATGTGGCCTGCTGTAAACAACCATTTAAACCATATTTAAATAACCAAATAACCATATTGAAATGAGTAGTTGAGCTGAAATCAAAGCGTAAAATGTACGCAGTATGATTTTACACGTGGAATCTACAAATATGAAAAGTGCACAGCAAAATGTACTGTACAACTATCACCCATTCTCCTTACTCATGCACCACAGCTCTGTTCACTATAAGCCACATTCGGTCTCACAATACAGAAACAAAGTTAAGTGCACTAAAGACATAACAAGCCTCATTACACATTCTGACTGCGGTATTAAAGCTCTCTTTATCCTTCAATCACAGTCACATGCAGGTATTTCAAACAGCAACGTTTATTAAATGACGAGCTGCCGGATGGGACCCATCAGCTTCAATTTATGCAGCTGAGGCTCTAAGCAAATCTATCAGCAGTGATTGGTGAGAGAAAACAATCAGAGGGCGGCCAGAAGCCAAAAGTTCAGACTCTCATGAACTGAACTGCTTTGCAGGATCATTTTTTTCCCCCTGTCCGTCTGCCCCCTTCCTCTCGCATAGAGGAAATGAGTGTCATCTCTTAGAGATTTACTTCTCAAGCATTTAATGTTGCTTCTCTTCTCTTTTCTTCTCTTCTCTCATCACAACACATTCTTAATTTGTGGGCACGATATCTAAATGCATACATGGCTTCCTAAAGCTTGGATGAAAGTCTATTTTCGAATAAATCACTCTTTCTGCAAAACCTTAAACAAGTTCACACAGTTAGACACCATTTGTAAATTTCATGCACTCTTTGCAAAACTCTAAAAACACTCACTCACTAAAACAAATGTTACACTCTGATGCACTGATGTTGCAAAACGGTAAACAAAAGTTGCAAAAGTTAAACAAAACTACAACAGTTGTCAGCGCTTACACACTACGACTCAAAATTGCTCACACTTCTAATGACGTGATCTGATCAAATCAACTGTACATAATACTAGTCAGTTCAGAGTGCCAAAATGGACACAAAATTTTGCACTAAATGTTGATCCAACAATGGATGGAAGCAATACAAGAGGGAAAGGGGGGGAGAGGATGTGTATAAGAGGTGTACGGAGGAAGAGAAGGAGGATGAGAAGGAGCAAGGTGTGGAGATTGTTGTCAAGGCTGGATCTGGCTTTAGGGTTTTTCCCTTTGCCTGCAGAGATGACATTGTCTGTGATATGGACAGTCCTCCGGCCGGACCAACATGATGCTGAAGAAGAATAAATCTCTCTCTGACCGTGATTTTGCAGTTGCTCAACTCTTACTGTATTAACATGCTTTTCATTTAGAGTTTTTCACTGTAACCTTTTTGGCTTTTGCAGTTGGGTCACTGTATTTTCACAGTATGCAACTGCTGAATATACAGACATTCAATGCTATTCAATATTAAGGATTCACGTATTTGTCGAGAGAAAGCAACGCGCATGGAGCGGAAAGGGCTTACAGTTTTTTTCAATACTTTTAACAAATTTTCTAAACTCTTAACGCACCAACACACCCACAACACACAATTGGCAAAACGGTTCATTTCATGCTCAAAATCACACACTGTAAACTAAACTCCAACACTTATTTTCAAAAAACAATAATACACTAACACAATAGGCTATGTCTACCAAAACACTAACACATGTTCTCTTCCAACAGGGACATTTAGTCAATCATGGCACAATGTCATAAATAAACACTAACATGAGATGGAATTACAGAAACTGCATTATTTTATATGCAGTATATCAGGTCTGCCCTTATACAATAGTTTATACAGTAGAGTATTTTGCACTGCAGTTTATTTTGAAGCCTCTCTACAGTTTTGTTTCGTTTGGGTTTAGCAAATGTGTGCAGTTTGTTTCCTATGTTGTAGAATTTCTATACAAAAAAAAAGGAATGACCCTTCTCAGAATAGCAGAATACAACGGTGTATGAAAAGAGACAGAGACAGAATTGGTGCAGTAAAGGCTTTATTTGCAACAGGACATTTCTGCAAGATAACAAAAACATGCAATACTTGCCATTTACAGCATTACTGTATGTGAAAATACAACATATACAAACAGAAAAAGCCATCTTCTAATCATCCTTCTAATCGTCTTCTCCATTTGGCCACGTTCTCATCAACATCACACACTTCTCTGGTAAGGCTTCTTGGGAAGAATTATTTGGCATTCCTCATCCTCCCCTGGCAGTGTTCAGCTGGGATGTCTTGGCATGCAGCATCCATTGCATCCAGGAGGGACATTTGGTCCTGTGGACGATGGTCAAAAACCTTCCATCTCCAGGCTAAGAAAGGGAAAGGGGAGTAATGGGAAAGGGAAAGGGACATCATCCTCTGATGGGATCAAACCAGCCTGTGACTACACTGGAATTGTGAAATGCCACATATTTGCATTATTCAATCATCTGTTTCTCAGTAACAATACAATAAAATACAGGGGATATATTTGTGTTTCAATTCACTGATTTTAGCCTGTAAGGTTAGGTTTGGAACATGATGTTATCTGTTCTAATATACGGTGTTAAAGCATTGGTAAATTTGATAGTAAAAATCCATTGTTTTGGTCTTGGTTCAGCTTGTGTGTAAAACAAGTTCAAGCATTTAAAAACTGTATGCATTTTGTATTAAAGCAACAAGAAAAGTCTTAATAGTGTAGCTTACACAGACAGATGTAGTGCTAACTTGGAAAATTGTTAAAAGTATTGAAAAATCTGTCATAGCAATTGTAAAAAAAACTGTAAATGAACAGTTTTGCTCTGTGTTTTGCTCTAGATTAAAATGTTAGAGAACGTTGCGCCAAAATATCATTAGCAGAAAAGACCATGAGAGCTTGTAATGAGTACGCTCCATGGTTTCGGGCCTGTTTACAACTGGTCACTTCAGATAGCTGAAGGCCAGGTGTAAATCCCTGCCGATACGCATTCGAGATGGATTTAAATCCGATCGATCAAACCACATCAGGAGGTCTGAGTAGCATCAATGCTACAAAATAAACGTGTGCGAGCGAGTTATAGGCTATATGACATGTAATAGCCCAGCCTGATCTCATGAAATGGGTCTCTACAGCACGCATTGTAGGCCTATTTATCATGCAATTTAGATGCGAATATTAGTTTTTATGTGCATATGATTTGCGTGCAAACTAAAAAATGGGTCCCACTTTATATTAAGTGGCTTTAAGTACTATGTACTTACATAGGAAAATAAGTACAATGTACTTATTGTGTTCAGGTTGTATTGTAAAACACTTTTGCTGCTATTGAGGTGTGATATGGGTAAGGTTAGGGACAGGTGTGGTGGTATGGGTAGGTATCATGGTGGGCTGAGGTGTAAGGGAAGGATCAACTGTGTAATTACAAATGTAATTACATGAATTAATTACAGTTGTAATTACATGCAGGTATTTTCAAAATATAAGTACAATGTAAATATGTACACAATAAGTCCAATGTATCAAAGTAGTAACTTCAATGTAAGTACATAGTACTTAAAGCCACTTAATATAAAGTGGAACCAAAAAATGAAACTGAAAGTAAGGCCCAACAAGGACAGCATTGAGTCCTAAAAAAACGGAATTTACTGTATAACATGGATTTTAATGGATTGATTGATTCATGTTCTTGGAACAAGTAATCACAATGTTTTGACTCCAGTTGAGGAGCACATAAACAGAGCAGTAAAGTGACTCTCCTTCACCAGGAATGAGGAAGCTGCTTTACAGACACTCCTGTTTTACACACGTCACTCAAACACAGAAGCAGGAAATCATTTCAGCTCCTCAGTTCAGGGAAACTGAAACTGAATTATTGTTGAGCTGTTGTGTGTTTGTGTCTCTATTCATGCAGTAAAATGGCAGAAGCCAAGATTTCTCAGGATGAGTTCACGTGTCCAGTGTGTTTGGATCTCCTGAAGGATCCAGTGACTATCCACTGTGGACACAGTTACTGTAAGATCTGTATTACAGGCTGCTGGGATCAGGAGGATGAGAAGAGAGTCTACAGCTGTCCTCAGTGCAGAAAGACCTTCAGTCCAAGACCTGATTTAGCCAAAAACACCATTCTGGCTGAAATGGTGGAGAAACTGAAGAAGACTATACTTCCTGCTGACTGTTACGCTGGAGTTGGAGACGTGGAGTGTGACGTCTGTACTGGAAGAAAATGCAAAGCCGTCAAGTCCTGTCTGGTGTGTCAGGAATCTTACTGTCAAACTCATTTTGACCGTCATGAGGAATTTCACTTTCGTAAGCCACACAAAGTAATTGATGCCACTGAACGACTGCAGGACATGATCTGCCGTGAACATGACAAAGAGCTAGACATGTATTGTATTACTGATCAACAATGCATTTGTGTGTGGTGTAAGGAGTGTGAACATAAAAACCACAATACTGTATCAACAGAAGCGCAGAGGACAGAGAAACAGGTATAAACTGGGAGGGATTGTTCACGCAGAAATTAAAGAGTTGTATTCAACTCTTTAATTTCTTAAAGAGTTAAAGCATTTTTGCATAAACAAAGCATAAAACAAAAATTAAAGCATTTTTGCTTACTTTCCTCTGTGGAATGTACAATATGGTATTTTGAAGAATGTCTATACATTGAATGTCAATGAGGTACAAAAGTTTCAAGCTCCAAAAAAAAAAAAAAAAAAAAACTTTTGCTGATAATTTACTTACCCCCATGTCATCCAAGATGTCCATATCATTCTTTCTTCAGTCGAAAAGAAATTGAGATTTTTGATAAAAACATTCCAGGATTTTCTCCATATAATGTACTTCAATGGGAACCAAACGGTTCAAGGTCCGAAAGACAGTTTCAGTGCAAACTGCTAACTGTTCAAAGGGCTTTATACGATTCCAGACGATGAATAAGGGTCTTATCAAGTGAAAACAATCGCTCATTAAAATTTTTTTTTTAAAGTTTTATAAACAAAGTTTAAGTTTTATAAGCTCAAATGGTCGCCTTGCTTTGTTAGGGTTAAAGTGTGATGCGCGTTCGTGACTCTAATATTCAAACTCGTTCATCAAAATGAATGAATCTCTTCCCGAGTCAACTCATTCATTTCGTTCGTTGAATGAACCAAATGACACGAAAAAAGATTTGTTCATTTTGATAAACGAGTTCGAACAGGAGAGTCACGAACGCGCATCACAGAACAGAGCAAGGCGACCATTTTAGCTTATAAAACTTAAGCTTTGTTATTATTATTATTTTTCTAAAAGAGCGATCGTTTCGCTTGATAAGACCCTTATTCATGGTCTGATATCGTTTAAAGCCCTTTGAACAATTTGCGCTGAAACTGTCTTTTTGAACCATGAACCGTTTGGTTCCCATTGAAGTCCATTGTATGGAAAAAAATCCTGGAATGTTTTCATCAAAAACCTTAATTTCTTTTCGACTGAAGAAAGAAAGCTATGAATATCTTGGATGACATGGGGGTGAGTAAAGCATCAGCAAAAGTTTTTTTTTTTTTTTTAAAGTGAACCTACGTTAAATCCTTCAGTGGGTCAAAAAGTCACTAGCTAACTGCTTTAAATTTATATTTAACCTATAACACATTTTAATTTAATAGCAATTAACATGCAAACATTATGTTCATTATGTTCAGTGTCTGAAAACATTAAGTTCAGTTCACATTTATTTCACAATTCAAATGATATTATTTCCATAATAAGTACACTTTTTAAAAGTATGCTACCAAACTTTGATTCATCAATCAAATCAAATCAGTGATTAACTCATGTACGTCATCATGTATGTCATCGACAACATCATGATGTTTAGTCATGCGACCGACGTGCAAGAACCAATGAGGTTTGATTAAGTGAGGTTATTGTACTAATGATATAAAACTAGGCACTGATGAAATACTACAGACATTCATTTCAGGAAACCATGAATCAGTGGTTTAAACCAGACAGTAACAACTTACCATGCAAGACCATTACCCACTTTACCAACTCTGGATTCATGTAGCTTTAATGTTTGTATGCTAACAGTTTTATGTATCATTTCCTGTCATTGGTTTGTCCTCCAGAAACAGCTGAAGGAGACACAGATAAAGATCCGTCAGAGAATCCAGCAAAGACAGAAAGATATTCAGCAGCTGGTGGAGGCTGTGGAGTCTCATAAGGTGAGTCTGGAAAAGAAAAGAAGTTTGAGACGTCTCAGTTTGGACCCGTCTCAGTCCTCCTGAAGACACTGTGTGACTGTGATGTGTGTCCTAACAGCGTTCTGCACAGACAGCGGTGGAGAACAGTGAGAGGATCCTTACTGATCTCATCCGCTCCATTGAGAGAAGCCGCTCTGAGATCACACAGCGGATCAGAGATCAGGAAAAGACTGCAGTAAGAAGAGCTGAAGAACGACTGGAGCGACTGGAGCAGGAGATCAATGATCTGAGGAAGAGAGACGCTGAGCTGGAGCAGCTTTCACAAGCACACAATCACGTTCATTTCCTGCAGGTAACAGAGATCTAAAAGAACAGGATAATAGTGGACTTGAGCAAGATCCTGCTATGACAGAGAAACATTTCATGAGAGCAGAATGAGCCGTTGACTGAGATGTGGTCATTCACAGTCAAGTGTTGTGAAATAATCATCAGTCAGCATCTCAGCGGATCATCTTCTATTTAAAGGGATAGTTCACTTTGAAATTAATTTTTGATATGTTTTAGCTTACCTCAAGGGCATTCAAGATGTAAGTGTCTTTGTTTCCACAGTATTTTCAATTTTTAAATTTTTAGGTCAAACTGTGGTTGTCTATCAGTCATATAATGGAGATTTATGGGGCCTCAAAGAGCATGCACAGAGAAGTCAAAATTAAACACGATTTAATGACTCGTAAGCGTACATTGATGGCCTAAGATACGAAGCGTGAGAAAATGTGTGAGAAAATGAACAGTATTTATATCGTTTTTACCTCTTGTAACCACAGCCACGTCCAACTGATCTGAAGGCATGTCGGTCTGCGTATGCGCCGGAAGTGATATCTTGCGCGTCTATGTCACTCATTTCGGAAGTTTTACCTTTCACTGTGAAGATCTAAACATATTTAGATATATTGACATCTTCCATTGCGATTTCCTATATATCTAAATATGTCTAATCTAATATCTAATTTTCCTGTATATCTAAATACTCCCCCCTTTACACAAACGCATCAGCCTTTATTAACCCCCTTTTATGATGGATAGATGCACTTTGATGGACTTCAAAACAGAAACAGCTAACACAGTCTCATCCCAAAAAGTCCTATAACTGACGTCTTGGGACGTCTTTTGACCATACGTCAATATCCGCCTTTTTTAGGGCCCCCTTAAACGTCGGTAGATGGCGATCCCGGGCCGTCATACAACTGACACTTTACCTTTAACGTCAGTTAGGTGACGGGTTAGGTTTAGGGTTAGGTTTAGGTCTGGGGTAGAGTTAGGATCCCATAACCTCATCTACCGACGTTTAAGGGGGCCCTAAAAAGGCGGATATTGACGTATGGTCAAAAAACGTCCCAAAACGTCAGTTATATGACGTCTTGGGATGAGACCGGGTTGAAACAGCAATTCACTGCCATTATAAAGCTTGGAAGTGGAAGGACATTTTTTAATATAACTCTGTATTCGTTGGAAAGAAGAATGCCTTATACACCTAGGGTGACTTGAGGGTGAGTAAATCATGGGCTAATTTTAATTTTTGGGTGAACTATTTCATTTCACCTTCTGGTTTCTTGTATCCTGATGAAATCAGTGAACTCGATGGTATCAATATCCTCCCAACTAGATTTTTCATAATATTTTTAATGGAATATTTTATTTCTACTGCAATATTTTCAGCAATGGTTTCCAAATTGGGTCAGGTGATCTACAAAGATAAGATTGAATTCGTCCATGAAGACTCCAAAAAGAAAGTGAGGCTATATATTAACAATGCTTATAAAAAACAAACAAAACCTGTTCTTGGGATCCTTACAGTAATGTACATTTAGACTATAAGACAGTTTAATGTAGCATTAAATAATGAATTTGAGAAGAATATGGCTGATGTATGAAAGTGCTAGATTGAGTCGAGTTATGAAGAGAAGTCAAGTAAACCAGATCTATAGCGGTTCAGGTTATTAGCTGAAGTGTGGAGCTGATGAGTTTTAATTTGTTTTCTGTAGAGTTTCCAGTCTCTCTCAGCACCTCCTGAATCTACAGACGAACCCGATGTTCCCTTCAGTTTTCTCTCCTCTTTTGATGGAATGAGAGAATCTGTCCGTCATCTGATAGACAAACTGGAGGATTTCAAAGAGGAGATCAAGAAGATCTCAGACGGAGGTAAAGTCCTGCTCCTCGTTTATACAGATGTGGGTTGAAAGATCCAAAATCTTTGGATCAGACAGTTTCCGAAATATTCCCACGATTTATAAAATGTACATTTGCACAAAATGTCCCTAAATGCATCTCAGCTTCTAAATCACAGTTCATCTTAAATTCAAGTGCAATGTGAACAAGTGCATCAAATCCACCTACACAAATATCCCCTGATGATTCAGAAATACAGAACCTGTCATCAGTGTTGGGTAAGTTACTCTAAAAAAGTAATTAATTACTAGTTACTAATTACCTCTTCAACAGTGTAATTAGATTACTGTACTAATTACTCTCTTAATTACTTTTAATTACTAATTACTTTCAAAATCCCATATCAATCTCAACCAGCTGAATAATACAAGGATAGACATGAATCTGTTTTAATTCTTTCAAATAAATACTATAAAATTGCATGAATTATCCTTAAACTGACCATTATAAAAACGTAGTTTTTAGCATCAGACAATACATTTTGATGTTAAACCCACTATTGTTTTATGTCTGATCTAATGACATTTCACACTTTTCCATACATATTTTACAATAGTTAATACGAATTTGTACGAGTGCGGTTGTAATATTTAGACACCTCATAAAATGCATAAGAATCGCTGTGAGATCGGATTGATCTATACATAGTATTTACCTCAATTACATCAGAAGTAACTGTAATTAAATTACAGATAAATGAAGAGTAATTCCTTACTTTACATTTTCAAGGGAAAAGTAATTAAATTACAGTAACTAATTATAGTAATTAGTAAGTAATTACTAAGTAATTAGTGTAACTAAATACTTAGTAATTAGTTACACCCAACACTGCCTGTCATCATGGAACAATTGTTTATACACATGACTTAGGATGAAATTCAGAGAATTTAAGATTAATCCAATAGGTGTGTTTTATAAACCAGGGTCCTGGAGATTCATCTGCTCTTAAAATTAGTACATCATACAACATCATATTAGAAATGTCTCAGAAATTAATGTATTTTCTTCACACTGTGTCTGTTTATTTCCTCAGTCACTTTCACCAACATGAATCTCAAGACCAGGAACGACTTCCTACAACGTGAGTTACTAAGAAAACACTGAACGTGTTCCTGTTTTATTTTATTTTATTTATTGATTTATTTGACAGGGACAATGCAAACAAACATAGTGTCAAGATCAAGCATGTCACTGAAGTGTTGCATATAAAGTTTATAGCTATAGCTAATTTTCAACTCCTGTCCCTGGAAGGGCTTTTATACAAATTTACATGATTAGCTACTTCAATAAAAAAAAAAAAAAAATAATAATAATAATAATAATACAAAAATAATACTACTAATAAAAATACTAATAAGCATACATACATATCCAGCCCATTCTCACCCCCAAGGCGTCACTTAACTGACGCCTTGGGAAGCATTTGGACATGCTTCAATATCTGACGCTTTAGGCGCCCTTTAGCGTCAGTTAGATGACGCCCTAGGATCGCGTGTACCCTACCCCCACCCCAAACCTAAACCTAACCGCGTCCTCTAACTGACGCTTTCCTTTAGCCGCTAAAGGGTGCCTAAAACGTCAAATATTGAAGCATGGTCAAAGGTGACGCCTTGGGGTGAGAATGCGTTGACATATCATATACAACTCTAATAATTAAATGTAGTTAAAAATGAGTACAGTTTTGGTTTATTTTTAACCAATTTTTCAGCCTGGAAATGAACATCTTAAAGTCCGACACAGTCTTGACTTCAAAAGGTAAAGAGTTCCAGAGTTTAGAACTCTTTACAGAGAAGGTTGTCTGTCCAAAACTGGTCCTGCAGTATGATATTTTATAGTTTTATTGCTCTATTATATAAAGATTTTATGCGTTTCATTGCAGTGGGAGCGGCTTGTGCCCATGATGTCATGCAATATGATATGTGAGAAAATATCATAGCATGTATGTACATTAAGGCTGCCTGGCTTGGAATGTAGCTTCCAATTAATTTAAGACAATTGAGATTACTTTGTAATGTTTTCTGGATTTTCTTTATATGTTTTTCAAATTTAAGTTGAGGATCTAAGACTAATCCTAAATATTTAAATTCTGTAACTATGAAGTTCATGTAGAAGGCAAAACAAATCATGACATAAGAGTTTTAGAATTGATCATGTAAATAATGCTTTACACTGGATATTTCCTCAGCTGTACTGAGATGCTGCAAATACATTGAACATTGATTCATGAAGTGTTTCTGGTGTGATGGAGTGTTTTCTCTCCATCAGATTCCCATCAGCTCACTCTGGATCTGAACACAGTGAATAAACTCATACATCTGTCTGAGAGGAACAGAGTGATTTCTGACACTGGCACAGTGCAGCCGTATCCTGATCATCCAGACAGATTTGATAGTTATTCTCAAGTGTTGTGTAGAGAGAGTGTGCGTGGACGCTGTTACTGGGAGATCGAGTGGACTGGGAGTCGTGTGTATATAGCATTGTCATATAAGAGCATCAGCAGGAAGGGACTGGGTAACGAGCGTTGGTTTGGAGGTAATGATCAGTCCTGGAGTTTGGACTGCTCTTCCTCCAGCTACACATTCAGACACAATAACAGACGCACTGATATCCGTGCAGTGTCTTTCAGCAGAAGAATAGGAGTGTATGTGGATCACAGTGCAGGAACTCTGTCCTTCTACAGCGTCTCTGACACAATGAGCCTCGTCCACACAGTCCAGACCACATTCACTCAGCCGCTCTATCCTGGGTTTGCTGTTGGTTCTAGATCATCGGTGAAACTGTGTTGATTTTTCAGAATAGATTGCAGAGAGATTTTACACATAATATTTTGAGAGATACAGAGACTCTTATTTTAATTCAGTTAATGCAAAGTGTGAAGTGTCAGTGGTAAAACTGACTCAAAATGTTGCACTGAATGTTGATCCAACATGGATGGAAACAATACAAGAGGGAGAGAAGGAAGAGTATGTCTATAAAGAGGAAGAGGAGGACGAGAAGGAGCAAGGTGTGGAGAGTGTTGTCAAGGCAAAGGGTTTTTCCCTTTGCCTGCAGAGATGACATTGTCTGTGATGTGGACAAAATCCTTCGGCTGGACCAACATGAAGACATGATGCTAGCAGAATCAATCTCTCACTGACCTTGATTTAGAGTTTTTTTTACTGTAACTTTTTAGGCTTTTGCAGTTGGGTCATTGTATGTTCTCAGTATGCAAGTGCTGAATATACAGACATTCAATACTAGGGCTATACAATATTCAGTACAATACAATACTTACAAGTTAAGTTGTCATTACTATACTTTTTTTTTACGTAATTGCACAATTAGTTTACTTTGTTGTAATACATCTTTTCCCTTTTTTCTGTATCTGCATGCTTTGGATTCTGTGTTCTCCATTTTTTTTTTCAGTGTCTAATGAATGATATAGTGTTCATAATTTTGACTTGCTGGGTGTATGATCTGAAAGCATTGTTTGATTTTGAGCAATGGTAAAATGGTTTTGAGGCAATTTTACCAGAAGAGTGAGCCCATTCTCATCCCAAGACGTCATCTAACTGACACTTTTGACCAGACGTCAACATCTGACGTTTTAGGGTACCCTTTAACGTCAGTTAGATGACACTATCTAATCCTAACTCAGACCTAACCCCAGACCTAAACCTGCCCGCGTCATCTAACTGATGCTAAAGGTAAAGCGTTAGTTAGATGATGCACTAGTAAAGGGTACCCTAAAACATCGGATGTTGACGTATGGTCAAAAGTGTCAGTTATCCCAGACAGCAAACTGACATTGAATCAACGTGGAAACGACGTCTCTCATGACATTGAAACAACGTTGATTTGCTCATCGAATTAACGTTGAACCAACGTCAGACGCGGCATTCTTCAAAGCTAAATGAAATCGAAAATTGGTTTGCTTTCATAACGTTGAAACAACGCGTTGATTTCAAGTTGATTTTCCGTTAGTTTTGAAAGAATGACGCGTCTGACGTTGGTTCAACGTTAATTCGATGAGCAAAACAATGTCAGATCAACGTTGTTTCGATGTCATATTTCCACGTTGATTCAATGTCAGTTTGCTATCTGGGATGGCTCGTTTCCACTGAGGGGTACGGTACGGTACGGTACAGTACAGTACGGGTCGGGTCAGGTACACCATGATCAGGCTTGCGTTTCCACCGCCAACAGTACCCTTACTTGATAGGCGTGGTATGCTGGAAAGAAGCAATCGACGTCATTTTCGCGCGAAGAAAGCGACATAGTAAACAACAATGGATGACAGACAGCAGATCTTGTTCTTGCTTCTCGGCATGTTTGTCACTAGAAACAAGCGCTGGCATTAGGCGTTTCCAAGAAGCCAACGCAAAGTCCGGCTCAGGAGAATGATCCCGAGGACGCGAGTCCAGTAATTCTGCTAATGGAAGAGCGCGTTTTTGAACACGGCACTCAGCTCGCTCTGGCTATGCGACTCCGGCTATCTCTGTATGTTCATTTTAGGCAACAATAAAACGAAATATGTTTTAAAACACCACACTGCTTCTTATCGATTTCATTTCAATACATTTTAAACATTCTAAAGCAAATAAATGTGGTTCAGGCAACACATAGCCTATTGATTATCACTGCATGTAACGTTATATTTATAACAAAACTAAATATAAAACAACCCTGCCTCTTTTCGTTTAAATTTAAAAATATTAAACATATTCCAGGCAATATGTAATGTAATGTATTGCATATCGCATTGGTACAAATGTTGCAATAAACAACATTACAGATGATAATAATTTTTTTTAAAAAATGACAAAACTTTCTCTTTTTGTTGAATTTCAGTTTAATCAATAATAGCCATTATAAAAGTATAAGTAAAAGGTACAAAATACAGTAAAGTTTAAATAATATCAAGAAACAATGAATTCAGTCAGTCAAATATAGGACTACAAATTCAGCGCTCAAAGATATGAAACTTCACGTAGCCTTCTGCCAAAACTATTGGCCAGGAAACGAATTATAGATTCACGAGACCAAAGATCACCTGTTAGGTTTATACAAGACGAACTATATCTCATGTTTAACCACTACAGAGACGTCCGAATCAGCGGCAAACATCAGAACGACTAGCCGAGGAAAGGCTGTTCCAGGCGGGGGACACCGGTGATCGCTTGGAATGGATCTCAGTCAAATTATCAAAAATCTATAAATAAACCACAGATTTGAGCTTTAAAAAACTACTTTCTCGCCTGAAAAAGTCTTAAAACTACATTTCGTGACACAATAACAGTAGAATTATATTTCAACTGTATGCTTCTAATGACCTTGTAGCACGCGCGAGTGACGATACTCTGTCCACCAATCAGCGTTCTGCAGTGAGTCTAGCTCCACCTTTTAGTACCCTTTCACTGTGCTAGGTACCCTAACGAAAGGGTACCCAAAAAGTGGTACGGTATGGTTCGGCTTTTTGGTACCATTCACAACTTTTGACAGTGGAAACGCAAATAATTGCGTACAGAACCGAACTGTACCGTACCGTACCACTCAGTGGAAACGAGCCATTAGATGACGTCTTGGGATGAGAATGTGTTGGAAGAGTCAGAGGTTCCCTGAATGTGGATTGAAAATTTGGTTTTGTGTTTTAGGTTTTAGAAAGTGAGTAATGATTTCAAAAAATATATTTTAGCGATTCAGAAAAAACTGTCATTCTTTCTTAATACAATACATTAGTTTGTGTACATTCTTTTATCTTGACTTTGGAGTAAACTGGGTTGTATTTGCATGTGTGTGTGTGTGTGTGTGTGTGTGTGTGTGTGCCAAGCTGTAAAATGGTTTGTGTGTCACTAATTTGTGCTCATCAGCCTGATGATGATTGTAACTGCTCTCATATCCTCCATGTGCTGTAGAATTATGAAATGCAATTGGCTGTTGATGGTCAGTGCAAGGTCTGTGATGATAGGCCTAATCAGAGGCATGTGCCTCTAGTAATCGTAACTTCATTCACACTGACCTTTGCATTTCAAATGTGCTTGTGTTTATTGTCAAGGATATGTGTGTGCACATGTGTTGATCATTTTTAAATTCCCAAATGGATCACACTAAACTTTGCCTTGCATTGTTATAAAATGGAAAATCCCCAATACCCTTCAGCCTTTCACATTGTTTCTCACACTCTGCTTTAAAACAATTGCTTGCAAAACCATTTCTAACTCTTGTGAAACAAGAAACAAAGCAGCATGTTGACACAATTATACTTGCACAAGTCAATCAAACCCTCTGACATGCTTTCTAAACTTGCTATTACATGCTGTATTGGTGTCATGTCACAAAAGTCCCATGCATGACTCTTAATGTGATTTTAAATGTTGCCTACTAGTATATGAACCTGCAATTTCTGCTGAATTAATTTAAATTCCCATTCCTGCCCTGAATGCAATGTCCAATCCATGTCATTATCCATAATGTTCTATATGGATGCACATTTTCTCATAAAATAGCAGCCATACACTCATCAAAAAGGATTATTAGGAACACCATTATCCTGTGTTTGACCCCCTGTTGCCTTAAGAACTGCCTTAATTCTATCTCTCTCTCTCTCTCTCTCTCTCTCTCTCTCTCTCTCTCTCTCTCTCTCTCTCTCTCTCTCTCTCTCAAACTTTTTATGTTATGAAATAGCTATAGCTAATATTTTTTTTAATTTTAAAGCATGCCTTGAATTACTGATTTTTTGATAGATTTTTTTTCTCAACCCAACACTGTAAAAAAAAAACGCATTGAATCTACTCAGTAAAACTGAAATACAATTTGCACTGAATTTGTTTGAGTAGATTTAATCACATCTGTTGAATTTACCCACCTAAATTTAGTCTACCTAAATTTAACAGCTATAACATTTGTCAATATACATTATACAACTAAAATAAACTCTTGATTGTTATTGAATGTCTAAAGTACCTTCAGATATATAACTCACGGAATTTCTGTACAGATTATGTTTCGTAAAATAATGCTTTTGTAAACAGAAACATTAGGTTTTATTATTTTTCATCTACTGCTTGTCAGATTCTTGTCTACCTGAAATCTCTCTTTCTGTATATCTCAGCCCCGTCTGTATAACTCACAGACACCCCAACCCAACCTTACCAGACACTCAAATGCTTTGACCCTCTGACCTTTGAACTCCACTTGAACTGCCCATTTCAAAAGAAAGTAACACAGAGAAGTTCAGAATAATCATATGTTTACTTGAGCAAGTGTCTGTGGTTGCAATAAATTGGACTAATACGCCTCTATGACATGCTCACAGAGTGAAAAGTGTCTTTCCTGCTCCAGGCTTAATGTACTTCAACAATGCCATCTTATACCAATCCCTGACTGGAATGTTCTCCCTGGAGCAGCAACACATGGTGCATTAAGACAGAAGAATGACTCATTTAACTATACTCCTACTGTGTGAATTAAATTTGACCAACAACAACCCCACTCATTGCTGCAAGTGATAGGAAGAAGTGCGTGGGAATCATGGACCGATGGTTTCTCATAGACTTTTTAAAAGCAGGGTCCTAAATCCTGCATCACAAGCCAGTAAAATTTAATAGCCAGAGTGTTGTGCCAATACAATATCTGATTCATGCTAAGGACAACTCTTTAGTTTAGGCATTTTTGAAACTCGTTTACATGAATGAGTATATCCCTTAACTCTCATGTCCCAGGGGCTAGAAAAAAAAAATGATGGAGATATAATAAAATTGTCTGAGACTGTTTGGTCTTTTTTCTGTCTAGAATTCAAATGGTAATAAGAACCAATTATTAAGACCTTAATTTTAGACAGAAAAAAAAGACCAAAGCTGTGCTTTATTCATGATAAAACATATGACCGCTTCACCCAATGTTTCTATTTATCACTGTGCAACACTGTATGTAGTTTTTATTTGAGCTTTCATGCATATTACACGTTGGAACGTTGTTGCTGTTCACGGTCAGGGACATTTTTTTCTAGCGGAAAGAAGGCTTTTAGTGATTTTACTTCATGAAAGTTGCACTACTACATTTTTTTTTTACTTGAATATTATTATTGTGTGCTAACCGTTTTATAAAAGCAATAAGGTACCCGAGGCAAGTGCTGTATCGTGAATAAGTAACGGCTGAAGGGGTTACTCCGCTTCGTGTCATGCCTAACAACACCCTTCAGCCATTACTTATTCACGATACACCACAGCCTCTCCAACACAGTCTCATGAAAGCATTTGTGGCATTTATACGCCAAAAATGGTTTTTGCGTGCATATGCTACGCACTGAAAACCCCTTGGGTAGGTTTAGGGGGAAGGGGGGTGGGGAGTTCATACTTATTATTCGCCATAAAGTGCGTATCATATGCATGCGAAAAACATGTACCATATACACGCAAAAACAATTTTTGGCGTATAATTGGTAATTGGCACGAGAAATGACATTCGTGCTATTATGAACTTTCATGAGATCGGGCTTGCCTCTTATACCTTATTGCTTACTTATTATATTTTTTTATACTTATTACTTATTATATATATAGACTTTTTTTGTCATCCCTTTATCCCAGACTCAAAAATTCAGGGCTTCATTTTTAAAAATTTACTTAAAGTGCTAAAATCCACAGCAATGTTCAGATTGATGGTCTTTGATGTGAACTTTTCCTTGTGGCAGAGACTCATATTTGGAAATCTAGGCAATGTATGCCGCTGACCATTCTCAAGTCAATGATTTAAACGTTGACTGAT